TTATGCTAATATCATATCTGAAATTATTAATATTATGTGCTATGCATGACTACAATTATAACATGTGGTGATATCACTCAATATGTACCACATATCCAGTACACTTAAGTAATCTTCTGTCACATACAATGCAACTCTAGGCTATCGCTACCACATGTACATGGGTGCACTACTAATTCCTAAGAATCTATAGAATTAGACACAAATGCGATAACCACTATGATTTCTCATAAGATCAGTATTAATTTATAAATTGATAAAAGTAGACTCAACTTTTTCGCTATGACTGATAAGTGATAACAGGTGAAATGCTGCGTGGTCTTTCAACAGGTTTCTGATACTGTTAGAATGTTTAAAAACGTTTAAATGGCCCGAATAAACTAATGACCATCACTTCGCTCGTTTCATCACATTTTTCAACCAAACACCTTTACATGTTTGATGTTAATTGTCAAGTACATACCACCTACCATGATTAGTGGCCCAACCTTTATTTTTAGAACCAAGAAACGCCTACACAGCAAACTGCATTAAAAACTTGTATTTAAATCAGTTTCTTTATCCTACCTCCTTGCTATTATAACTTTATAAAACGATTTGTACGATAAAAACGGTCAACAGATAGTGACCCGGCCGATGCAATGTTCATTATACACATGTATAAATACGTTATATATTTTTGAAGGAGTAGTAAAAACTCAATTCAAACAGTAACTTAGTTTGAAGGAGCTCATTTGGTGTATAATAGAAGTAACATTATGTATTGTGTCCGCTATTGTGTCCACTATTGTGTCCGAACGATATAATTATAATGTCCTAAATGTTTCTTCTGTTCCAATTATCGTCTGAGCAAATATTTATTTATTGTAGACCCTTTGTTTGGAAGCAGCTACCAACTCATTTGAGAACTGTGACTGAGACGATCGCGATAAGGAAACTTATTGAACTTTTTAAAAGAAACAACTATTCTGGTTTATCTGGGACCTGTATTTATATTATATATTGTATAATTAATAATTATATTGTATATTCTATAATCTATATTGCATACAAAACCAATAGTGCAAGTGTTTGAACATCATTACCCGGCCCCTGCCTGGCCTCATTCGGTGTGTTCAATGGTTTCCTAACAATGGAAAAAGCTTAGATATTAAGACTTTAAGAATAAGATTGCTTTTCTCGTCGGGCTCATATTTTCTCTCTCCAGTGTCCTTAGTTGTGTACAAGCAAAGCAAACTATCATATTTTCTAACTCTGCACTGGATTTATTCATTAGTCATCTCCAAAGGTCTGACTTGTACCTCATCTTCTAATGGTTTTTCATGTACAGGATGGGACTAATCTCTGTTCTTTATCGTAGAGTTCTAGTCCCTCAGACCACTCGTACATCATGACTTATTGTACTGTAGTTATTAGTATTTCTCACGTGTAACCATATTTAACAGGCGTGTAATAATTTATGCACTATTTAAGAGTTTAGTTGATGAATAGCTGGTAACGAGTGTAAATTAAAACATTTATAGCCGCCGGCATCAGTAAATTATTAACTAGATTGTGCAAAAGAATAAGATTCATTATATGATATACCTAGTGCTTTTAGACAATGAACTTAATCCAGTATTGTTGTAAATGTTATTAATCTAAATATAGATGAAAAAATAATAAATAATATAATATAATAACATTATATTTTACTTAATATACCGTGGCCGTACGCGTAAAACGATGTGGTTGACTAAGATCGCGACGTTACATTGCAAAAGGATGTGTTAGATTAAGGCAGGATGTGACTAAGATTGTGAGCTGCCTCCCCCGGGGGAGCTCAAGTGGCAGCCCCTGGCTGGCAGACAACTGGGTGCAATACTGTGTTTGTGTGCTATAATTCCAGGGAACCCCTCTTTCAATTAATCAGAGTCCAGCTGTACAACAACGGGGTTTATACCATGTGAGTGTGTGGGAGCTATAATATAATAGTATATTCTAGACTATAAAGTGCGTGTATTCAATCACACGTATCTGGGTTGGGAGGAGTATGTGGTTTTAATTCATCAAATGTTGAGTCACGTGATGTCACGTGATGTCATCTCGTTCAGTTCACATCGTGGCCCACAATATTCATATTGTGTCCGAATATTGGATTATAAGTGACCTTAATCCATATCATGGTATCTGTTAAGTTAATCTGGAGATCGTTCATGATATGAACATTAGGTTTATGAAATCTGGATTTTGTTAAACATAATACAGATTTAATTACAAGAACACAATGCGATTACAGAAACGTTAGTTCAATAAGAAACTGCTTGCCCGTAAGATGAAATCACTGGATGTAAAATGAAACTCATACCGCAAAGGATTAAATCGCATTGACATTTTGGCATTTAAAGATCTCTAAATTATATCGGTCATTATTGGGAGTCGACTTTAGAGAAACGAATCTGTGGGTAGATCTCGAGTCGGATGGTATCGGGTTTCGAGTTTTGGATTAATAGTACTGCGTGAGAGTCTGGTAGATCTTTTAGTGAGTCAGCGGTTATCAGTAGTGACGCAAAATAGTGACTTAATAGGATTTATTGTCTGAGTCTTATAATTATGGTGCTGTACTGTACAAGTTAATCAACCAATAAGATAGAGGGGAGAAATATATTTTAAAGGTAAGTTAATTAATAGACTTTGCCATTTTTGGTACAGGCTATTATTGGTGTCTTCAAGATAGTGATCATCATATTCTCACATGAGCTTTTAATTTTTATACCATATTGTTATCCAAGGTTTATCACATTATATAAGGTATTTTATAATAAAATATTTTATAATATATATCTTTAAATTATATAAGTCTCACTGTATCATGTGTAAAACCCAGTCCCACGCCACGTATATAACTCAATGTTACATTCTATCAACAAGAAAACACCAAGTGTAATTGCTCTAGTCTGCAGTGAGCTGTGAGAATTGTATCTCTTTCCTTGAGATGAAGTTTTTAAACATTTCACCGTCAATTTACTTAAGTAAGGCGTAATATTATGTCACCATGTCTGAATAAGGTCAAGAAACTGTATGTAAACTTCTCTTTTCTTAACAGTTTCATATTTCACATATCAGTCACCTCATGTCAGTTCAAGATGCACAACTTCTCAAGTTTAAAAGTATCTTTTAAATGATTTCAACATTTTGGGGTGTATAAAAATAACATTAATTTATTATTATTTATAATGGCATGACGTGTGAGAAACTCACACCGCAAAGGATTAAACCACATTGACATTTTGGCAGAAGATCTCTAAATTATATCGGTCGACTTTGGAGAAACGAATCTGTGGGTAAATCTCGAGTCGGATGGTAAGAATATGGGGTCATTCTGAAGTGGGAACCAAACCACTGCGGTATTGTAGGAAATTAGCTAAATTTAACTGCGGCCAACAGATCTCAATCCAGGGATAACATACCAATATTGGTCGATGCAGCGAAGTCAATTATAATTATAAAGTGGGTACTGCCTACTGGTCAGTGGTCAAGTAACAATCTGGCCCGGATCCATTATTTAAATTTAGCTAATTTCCTATAATACCGCAGTGGTTTGGTTCCCACTTCAGAATGACCCCATATTCTTTTTGCGGTATTGCTATTATATTATTATGGTAAATGAGCTATATTAAACTGGGGCCAACAGATCTCAATCCAGGGTTTACAGACCAATATTGGTCGAGGCAGCGAAGTCAATTATAATAATAAAGTGGGCTACTGGTCAGTGGTCAAGCAACAATCTGGCCCGGATCCAGTGCCGAATTATTTTAGGTCCGGTATTCTTAGTACATGTCATAGTTTCATGGAATGAATAAATTAAAAGTTGAATTTTGGTCATCACATTTTGGCTAAATTGGTGCCAATGAAAAATTGTTGGAGTTTTCAAAAATCATGCATTAGTTAAACTTATTTACTAATTACTCCTAAACGGAGCGTTTTTGAGTATATGTTGTGCATGAGTCGGCAATTGCGAACAATTCTGTTAGCAGCTGACCCTTTGACCTTTACTTTGACCTTTACTAAAGAAACCGTAATTTTGAAAAATTACCCTTTCGTAAGACACAAATATGCTGCTAGATCATTCTCCAATTTTGTTAGGTGTTTCTGGACACAGAGTGAGTCATCTTACATCTTGTGACAAATGCTATGTTGCTCATGAGTCTTCAGGACCTTTCTAGCAAAAATCCGTTTTTCAGCCACATTTCCGAAAATAAACCTTTAAGGGTATATGTTGCTTCATAAGTTGTATATAAATATTGCTATTAGGCACATTTTGGTGTATGGGAACAGTCTCTACGACGTTTCTGGGCTGAAATACAAAAATTCGAGTGTCCGGGAAACCCTGAAAAAGGGTGTGGCCGAAAACAGCCGTATTGCATTAAGTTCAAAAAATTCAATAGAGTCAAAATGTTTTAAGCATCATCTAAAGAGGTGATAACCGTCGAGAAATCGCTTTTAACACGAAAAGCTAACAATATGGCCTTTTAGAACGGTTGGGACCCGACTAGAGTTATTGATTGTCATTCAAAATACGACAATAATTACAGTAACACATCCCATTTCCCTACATGATCTACGTCAAACGCTGGTTCCACGACAGTTCCTACAGTTCCTACAGTTCCTAACTCGTCAGACATGTCGAGTGTACACTGTACAGGACGTTAAGTCAATGTTGTAAATTGTCCGTCAAATTTCACTTGACGTCACCTAATTTCACTTGACGTCACCAGATATACATAGTTTGATCAAGAAACATGTTGTTTGTAGAATGTAGGTGTATGAGAGTTGATAATTCATGGAACTATACCTTGAGTCTAGAGGCTTAATAATAAATATATATTGACAGAATATGGATGATAATGATAAAATCATCACAATCATACTTTTTAACCTATAATTTACATAACTTACATTGCACCTATAAACATATTCTAAATCTTAAATTTGTTTATTTTAAAACCCGTTACTTTCAGGAGTTATACAACGAGATAGTGAGCGACCAATTCAACCCTGCTCAAGCTAAGAAGACACCCTTAGAAGAGGTTAAACACCCATCTTATCTATTTGTTTGTTTGTTTGTTTGTTTGTTTGTTTGTTTGTTTGTTTGTTTGTTTGTTTGTTTGTTTGTTTGTTTGTTTGTTTGTTTGTTTGTTTGTTTGTTTGTTTGTTTGTTTGTTTGTTTGTTTGTTTGTTTGTTTGTTTGTTTGTTTGTTTGTTTGTTTGTTTGTTTGTTTGTTTGTTTGTTTGTTTGTTTGTTTGTTTGTTTTTTGTTTGTTTTTTGTCAGATCTTATTTCGGTACGTGTTTTTTTGCTAAATCAGTCCGTATTTCCACATTTTAATAGAGTGGGTATCAAGCTTCAGCTATCAGTGACTTAATATGGCATTCTATGCAAATTATTAACAATTGGGTGTTAACAACATTTTCCCACGACGAACATATCAACAGCCTGCTCCATTACCAGTCAGATAGTAGGCATTAGAAACTTGTCTGTCGAGGAGAAGGTTCTTGGTTCGGTTCCAACTACAGCCGGTCACAATATATATAGTGTAAATATGACACTAGTTTACACTAGTACACACTACTAGTACACACTAGTACAGCTCTTGCTAGAGGTTCTCTCACGAGTTCTCGTAGAACAAGCCCTCAACAATGCCACATGAGTGTGACTCAGGACTTCCGGAGGGAGAAGATTCTTCATCCCCGGCCACTTATGAAGTAGACCTAATCATTACATATACCCCATTACATCTACCCCATTACCAATAAACTGCAACACACTCCTAACTCGTTATTGCTTATTCAGGACTACCAGAAAGTGACGAAAGAGTACAACAATCTACTCCAAGAGTTGGATCTAAAGGATGAGGATATCCACGATTTGAAGGCTGAGCGTGCGAACATAAAGGTATTGTAATTATACATAATTAGTAATTATAATAATTAAATTACTACAGTTCATGACTTCTTAATAATATTTTCGTTATCGCGCAAAGCATACGAAAGTGCGACCAAGATTTTCCCTATATTTTTTATTTCCCTATACTGTAAATGTCGTCATCTCGTAAAACATTACGCTATGGCGACTCTGGCGCCCAATAATGATCGGTTGTTTTAAAAGTTTTAAAAGTTTAGTTAGATCATTTTGGAGACAATTCGCGACTGTCAATTTTGCCATAGTGCTTATGACTATGTGTACCAGCGACATAATTCACGGCTTTATGATTTATCATCTGGCACTGAGAGGTTTAATAGTATTATACACTGTTCGGTTATATTCTGAAAACAGATCAATAGCAGCGAATACATTAAATACTATGATATAAAAATTATAATTTCTAGAATTTCAATGCTCACTCTTTGGTAACAATTTCTTCAGAAATATGGAACTAGAATATTAATGAATGTATACTCAGTACTCACTCTGGTCTCTGAGCTTTCTTAAGAAAAACATTAATGTGAAGTATAAGAGTCTAGTGAAATATATTAGGACGCAATGAAACTACCGGACGACGATGTATGGGGACTTGCCACCCCATGGCAACATTAAAATATATCGACTCTGTTACATCGTTTTCCTGTTAATATAAAACTCCGTTACAAATTGAACTGGGATCTGGCAATACTACACCTTAGTTGAACAATAAAATATTATGATAATGTAATGTATAACACTGTATTCTAACACTTCGATAGTAAAATAACATCCCAAAGAGTTAATCAGTCCTGCATGAAGGACAACTATCTGAAATCCTAAAAAGATGTAAAATTATAAATAAAGGATAAAGCTTCATCATAAATGTGTGTATTATATAGGCCTGGAATTAAACATTTTAGTGAAATACAATATATAATTAAAACATCATACCATTCACCTAACTAAAAATAGCATTAAAATATCTATACCTGTACACAAAAGGTGATGGGTTGCAGGGCGTGGTATATAAACCACTACATAACTTGTAACTGTCACAGTGCTCTGAACATTTACTACTGTCACATCACGTGATAGTAGCAGTAGTAGTAGTAGTGTGTCACGTGACAGCTACTGTCACGTGACAGCTACTGTCACGTGACAGCTACTGTCACATCTCCTCACTGACACCTACTTACACGGTGAGCTGAACAAGACTGGACCTGCTTCTGAACTCCCATTATAGTTGCACTGAACTCTTATTATACAACTTGTAGGTACCATGAACTCGTGTGATTGTTTAAAATACTCTAATGTTTACATCACGAACCCACAGCTCTGGAGATACATTGCAGTTAATTAACAACTCTGTAACTGTTATAAGTGCGATATTAGGTCAGCTCTGTAAATACACTTCAGTCTGTTTTTTATAAACTATCAAACTTTATCTTCACTATTATCTCCTAAACTCCATGGATTGTCTCCACAGATATAAAGAATCTCTCAACCCTCAAGAGGATGTATAATGCTAACTATCCAAGAAATACAGTGGTAGTTTCAACTTGACCGGTTTCGGTTCTAAACATCAACAGTTAAGGTTTTGTGTACTTTTATAACACATCTGCTTCTAAACGCTGCTCATTTGACAGACATGATAATTACAGTCTAGTCCGGACTGCATGGCGTGTCAAGGTGTGGGAATCACACTATAAATCACACAAATCACACCACAAATCACACAATCCCACAATCCTTCACGCTAAAGATGACGAAATCCAAACCAAGTCTTTATTGTCATGTATTTCAAACTTTGGGAGTTCTTCTTTAACTTTACAGCCCAATGTGGTGAAGTCGCCCATGTCTACACTATACAGCATGTAGATTGTAGAATGTAGAATGTAGAGTGGTGCAGCTCGCCTTAGTGTCCAGCTATAGTTGTTGACAATAACGTAGCCACATTTTTGGGTAGCATTCACAAAAGTTAAATTCTTCACTGCTCTGGGTTAGGAGAGGGCTTTAACTTTGGTTATATTTAATTTCATTGTTTTGGTAAGGATTAGTGCTGTTATTAAAGTGACAAACTTGAGGCAGGAGATCCTGGACTCTGGAGCATCAATGCAAAGTTATGCTATCTGAGATAGTTCTATATTACTCTAAGAAGGTACTCGAGAATCAGGTGCGTTTTACTTTCTGTTTCCAGAGACCAGCCAATAGACAATTATTTAAAAATATTTTGAAATTTTATTTAGCCTCCTATATTATGAGGTCAAGTAAACTATTTACCAAATTTCGCTGCAAATACCGTAGAGTTAATTCTGCTATTTCTGCCCTAGTAGCGGACAAAAGGCTTGCAGCAAGCGTTTATTGTGTGACCCGAAAGTCGAAACCAGAAGAAAATAGCGATCTGAATGTAGTTCACCATAAGGCCATCATATTCTTAACTTAAGTTCTATCTTCTTACAAGCAATGATTTAAGAGATATCACAAACCTTGTAGTTGTAAGCACTGCTTGGCACCTGAATACTTGGTGTTATATCACCAGGAAGAGGTTGTGGGCTGGCCGTCTCTTTTGATCTTTTCACTCGGTCATATCCAAATAAGGATGGTTTTGTTGGATGTAGAGTGCTAAATCTTGTATCAGGGAGACAACCGACCCAGTTGAAGGTCACACACAATTATATGTACATTTCTTCCGCATCATGTGATACCGGATGCGGTATCACAGTTCAGTTCAGTTCAGATGTGATGTGCGATAATATCGACAAAAGAAAATTACAAAGCTCACGTTTTGCTCAATAACACTGGATAGCTGAGACAAAACCAAAAGAAATTGAAAAAGCTTTTGTTGAAAATGGGCAGTTTTGGGTAAGATTTAAAGTCTTTGTTACTAATTGTGAATAGTCTATGATACATAAACCTGAGTCTAATCCCAGTTTCTGTGGGTGTAACAGGTAAACTTTATAGTATAAACGGTGTTAGTTAGGCGTGAAACAGCTGTATTTGACACACATAACTTTTCGAACTAGATATAAAATTATTGTAGTTAGTATCTGGGTCTCAAAGGTGTGTTCTGCTTATATCAAGCGTACGCCGCGCTGATACTATGCCTCGTCATATAACCGGTGTATTTCTGAACGTGTCTTGTGCACGTATTATCACGTGTCCTATCACGTGTCCTATCATCTGGTGGGACGTGGTTATTTGATTAAAGTATACCCAATAATTCGTGGCATCATGTCTAATCGATTTCGTGGGTTCAAATTTCAGCCGATGTAGAATATACATGAATTTAACGTCTTATAAATTGGGCGTGTCTTGTTTCCAGACAGAATTATGACTAACTATCCCCCCGTAAGAATATTTTAATTTTCTAATCTGAATTTTCTGAAACAAACCCCCATGAAGATGTACTTTGATTTCGTTACGAAATTCCTAAAGAATTGAATTCGGTGGATATTCTCGTCAAAGCGAGAAATCACATCCGCCCCCTTCAAGTGGCTCAGTGATTGCGAGACCTGTTCAGAGGTTGCCTTGTCAAGTATTATCAAACATATCTCTATCACTTGAGTCAGACACTTTCTTTGAAGTGATAATTTGTTAAACTTATGATTTGAAAATGATTGCAGTTTAAATTGAACAATGAGATGGTTAATAATTATGTGTCTATTACCCATAGATTGATCCTGGATCGTATCTTTGATTCTCCACTTGACTCAACAGGTGTGGTCAACAGGAAAAATGATCGAATTCATCTTTCATCGTCACATTGTCATCACCAGGAAACATTAACAGGTGGCTCTATTAACTAACTGTTGGGGGGGGGGGTGTAACCCAAAAAAACCCAACTCCTACCCAACAAAAGGTAATACTGGGATTGGGTTTTTTTGGGTTTTTTTGGGTTTTTTAAACAAAATTTAAACAAAATTCTAGCCATTTCATTTGTTGTATTGAATGTGAATTATTTCCCACTGAGTCTTACCTACGTGTTGTTCTCATGTCTTAACTTAATAGATAGTTTACATAGTATATAAGTGTGTTTATAATAAAATTATGTTATCACGATAGCAAAAAGGATGTCTAGTTCATCGAGATATAATCCATATGAATGCAGAAAGTGGAAATGTGCCAAATGTGGCAAATGTGTTCTCCTGTCATTGAAAGAGGCTATGACGAAGGTCAAGGGCAAGTCAAAGCACATGACTTAAATTACTTGACTTAAGGCGGCTTCAGAGTCCGAGTCTCAATGATGTGTCTCCAAAGCTTTCTGTCCGCCATAAGCTCCTTAATCTCCCCAGTGTTCTTGAGTACGGTGTCACTTATTAGGTTATCGACGAAGGTGAGCGGTGGACGGTGGTCTGCCCCTCCCTCTGGTCCCATGGCTAGGTCCCCGAAGAAGAAGTTGGTGTACTGCCAGGTCATCATATCGCTGGATCTCTGGATGTGCCCAGCCAACCTCATTCTTCTGGCCTGTATCTTCGAACTAACTCTTAAGAGTGATCCAAAGACCTCTTTGTTGGTGCGATGTTCTCTCCAGTCCACGTTTAGGGCCATCCAAAGCATTCTACTGTAACACCCGTCTATTCTTTTTAAAGATTCTGTCATTGCCCACGTTTCCGTTCCATACAGGAAGATTGATTCAACTGTAGCCTTGAAACAGACGGATCTTTAAATCTCGGCGCAAATTGGACCTCCATATAGCCTTCATTTTGTGGTAGGCAGCCCAAGCCTTGCGTACCCTAAAGTCGTGCTCCGTTGTACTTATCCAGGCTCCTAGGTAGAAAAAATCCTCAACTTCCTCTAAGGCATGTCCGTCCTTAGAAGTTATTGTGTGTGGCTCCTCTTCTACTAAATTAACAGTAAGATGCTTGGTTTTAGACAAAAGAGATTTTCTGCCTCCTCATCAGATGAGGCTTCTGTAGGACTGTAGCATGTGATGACAGTGAGCCTGCGCTTTCCATTGAAAGACATGGTGAGGATCCTTGCGCTGTAAGATT